TTCAAACCCCAAAGTTGTTAGAAATCTAATTTCTAGATGATTTCTAACTCTTATTTATACAACAAAAAAAAATGATTCCGACGAATTTGATATATCAAACAGATCAAAAAACGAACAAACCAAACAATATATACAAGCCATCATTAATCGCAAATTTATGACTTCATAATCGGTGAACAATAATGACTAAGGGCCAAAAAATCGAAAAGAAAAAAAAATTTCTCAAGAAAAAACTGAACGTGAATTAGCTCTGATACCAATTGATAGAACTAAAAATTTCACATTCAATTTCGAGAGAAATAAACCATAGATTAGCGGAAGCGTACCGGAATTCATTAGATCGATTACACAAGATATGATCTTCCAATCTGCAGATTTTCCAGATTTTTCTTAGTTTCTTGTTGATGGGGTGCAAGAAAAGAAATGTGTCTCTCTGCAAATTGGGGACCATCACCCTTTAAAGTAACTACCAGGTGGTTACAAAAAAATTTTGCTTAATTCTAATTCTGCCCCTCATCAAATTAGAATTTGCACTTATGGTATCCACACTATAATATCATGACAAATATGCCCAAAGTCATAAACTTAATTCTAAATTAGACCACAATAATTTTGACTTATTTAATGATGACCCAACACATCTATTAATTACATTGTAGTCCCAAAATTAATCCAACACATTGAATCATCATCCATCTTGTCTGTCTGTTATAATCACTGCTGATGAATGTTGGTCATCTTAACGTAATGTTTTATCAATGATCCTTGGTATTAATTGGATCTATGTAATTTTAACAAATTAATATTTTTTTTAATCAAAGCTCATCTCATCATAACTCTTGCCTTCTCTATGTAGGTCATTAATGTATCCGTCTACCTATCACAATTTACATGACATTCCTTAAATCAATTTTATCTGTTATAATCATATTCATATGCATTTTCATATAATCACAACACATGAAAAATTTGTGTTACATCATTTTCATTCCCTCGATCAACTTCATATAATCACAACTCATTCTTAATGTCAATAAAAATTGCATGTGATTAGACACAAATCACAATGTATTTTGGATAAAGTAACTTTCAGAGTCCAATTCAAGAATATCCGAGCTTTAATTTTCACAAAATTTTTGCCAATCTGAATGTCTTAACAATATGAATCTAACACAATGCCAAAAACGAGTCGACACAAGTACAAATATGCCGAAATCAAACACTTAAATTATAGTTTATAGCATCAAAGCATTAATTGAAAGCTTAAACAATATTTGAATGTTGTATGATTATAGGCCAATCAAGTTTTAGTGGGAGAAATCAATGAGTGTAAAAATTTTAATTTTGAGATTATCAAGGCACTTTAGTGCAGAAATAATTTATAAAAGACCATCTGATCAGTATTTTGAAAATTTAGCTAAATTTATTGAAGTACTACCCTCTAAACACCTTAAATATGCCTGTATTTTCAACATGAAAGGGGGATCAAAGAGCTGGCAACTAAATCTGAATATGTGAAAGAAGTTGGGAGCCAACGACCTTTAGCTATCATCACCAACCATCTTTAGCGATTGTTATAGCATAACTACTATTATAACGGTCAAACAAATATTCATAAATTAATCCCGACTTCTCTAGTTGACGAGAAGAGTCAAACTTTGTAATTTTAATAATATAGTGGATTATTTTGACTGATTCATACCCATAAAATCTTATTATTTTTTTATCACTTCTACTTTTGTGTTGCTGGATATTTTTATGGAGTTAAGATTTATTTATTTTTTCTGCTGTTAATAATTTTTTAGCAACAATAATTCCTATCCAAACAGTTAGGGAATTCTGATTACATGGATTTTGGACGTTGCTATACAGCCATACATCCTCTGTCTTTAGGAAAAACTCTTGATTCAAAATGACCCTAAGTTAATTTACAAATGAGTTCTTAAACTTTGCAAGGCATTTTAAACTTATTATTGAATGTAGCCGCTATAACTTGATTATGCAATTCTTATGGATTTTTGGGTATTGAAGCAGAACCTTTCATCTGTCCATAATAATGTAAGTAGAGTTTAATTTTTTGTCATGAATTGTTAAATGAGAAGTTTGAAAGTTGATCCAAAGTTAAATTATTTTATTTAATAATATCATCTTCAGTATGATTTAATGTGCTTGCAAGGTATATTATACATTATAAATGTAATCGTTGTATGTTGGTATGCCTATCGTAGAAATATCATGTGATGCATGTCTATTTTCCATGAAATTGAAGGCACCGAGGATTTATCTGTTCCTTCATGTGATTTACTAAGCTATTAGGCAATTGAAGCTATAGATGAGTATGATTTAATGTGCTTGCAAGGTATATTATACATTATAAATGCAATCGATATATTTTGGTATGCCTATTGTAGAAATATCTTGTAATACATGTCTATTTTCCTTGAAGTTGAAGGCACTGAGGATTTATCTATTCCTACATGTGATTTACTGAGGGGAGTATAATAGTTTCATTGCACTGAGAACATCTCATTTTGCAACTCCCATTTGGCCATGGGCACACCCACCCCACATCCCCAAATAAGCTGCGTCCCTCAAACCATTCCCATCCCTTTTTGTGTTGTAAGAATGACTAATAAGCAATTTTCTTAACATCAAAATTATAAGCGGTTAAGCTTTGAATGAGTTTTGCCAAACAATTAGGTCGCTATTATCGTACCCAACAGACATTTTTTTTATTTCTATTATAACAAAATGCTTAACTGTATATAGTAGATACTCCATGGGTGTAACTTCTTTAGGCTACCATCTCCATTTTGCACAATCCAATACGTTTTGAAGAGCTGGTGTCACATTGTTTTCTATGTTTTCAAACTTTTAGATGAATTACCATAAAGTGGCTTTCCAGTCTGCATATTCTAAGTTTCTGTTTTGAACACTAATTCAAGGTATTGAGTTGGTGGTGCTGACAGTATATATCCGTCTGTGTAGTCAAAGTTTTCTGCAACGACATTATTCCTTGCTAGGACTGCTAGCTTAGGCTATATTCTAGCAAATTGCTCCCTGCAACTGCCTTACCATTTGGTATGTGAATGTTAGACAATGTTTGATACCATGAATAATGCTTTATTTTACACTTTAAATGAAAGCATTTCATTTTTCATAATTTGGGCTCTTTTGAGTTCATTTGTTTCCGGTTTGTAATCTAGTATGTTCCATTAATTGATTCAAGCTCTTTTCCTTTTCTCTTTTATTTCAATGTGTAGAGGAATGAAGTTATGTCTTCAACGAAAACCAAGGACGAAGAATATGATATTGCTATAGTTGGTGGAGGCATGGTTGGCTTAGCTCTTGCCTGTGGACTGGGTAGGTATCACCATCAACATACATTGTTGATGACCAATCCATATGTTGTTAGCGCAGTTAATGTTATGGACCTTGAATTCATTAAATATGCTATGTAAATTGTGATTTTTTTTTTATAATTTATATACTTGATGCATGCTAGAAAATTCACAGCAGTAGAATGATGAATTATCGTCTTAGCATTGCACGAGAATTCAACACACACTCAGATGAAAATGAATCAAGCTATGATAACAGCAGAAGTTTTTACGTGGAAAACTCGTGAAGGGGAAAAACCACGGGGTCTGGCTCAGTTGTAAAAATTCACTATAAGTTGATGATTACAGATGCCCCTTGACCCACAGGTGGGAAAGAGATACTAGTTTTCCACGTTACTACGTCGACTGATGACGTCGGTAGTTGACGGAGGTCGACAGTGATCGACGGTAGTCGACGATAATCGATGACGATCGTCATGACTGACGGAGGTCAGCGGTGACTGACGATAATCGATGACGGATGGTGGTGGTCGAATGAGGGTAGCGGGGACTGACGGCGAAGTGGTGGTCGACGACAGTTGGCGATGGTCGACGACGATCAGCGGTGTTCGATAACGGTTGGCGGTGGTACCTCAACTCATTCTCAAAGCTTCAAGTTCTCTCCCAAGGCTTCCGCCTCCTCCTCCCATGAGAGGGGTAGGGGTCTATTTATAGTGTTTTGGATGTCATTAATGCAAGAATATGAACTATTTTGATCGAACGGTCTGGAGAGCTTCCCTTGATCAGATGACGTTTGATGGACATTTGAGTGTCTTAACGATGTCGGAATTGAGCAATCTTGAGTTCGTTGGATTCATCTTATCGAGACGCTCGATTCGACTATGAACTCGTTAGATTCGACATTCGTTTGACCTTTCAAATGCCTTCAGAAATCCTCCAAAATTGATTTAATGATTTGATATGGGCTTGATTTGACTCAGATTGGAATGACTTTCATATCATTAGGTCCGTCTCATCGAACTGATTAATTTGTCTATAAGTTTGTTGAAATTAGAGCTCTGGATGACTCTTAATCGAAGTTTGAATGTTTTTTGTTTAAAAAATTATCTCGAGATTCGTGTCATGCCTCAAGATTTGTGCACGATGATGAAAATTTGTTGGAGTCGTATCAGTTGCCCCCTATGTTCGGGTGAGATTAAATTTGTTGTCCGAAAATATGCAGATTTAGAACCACTTAAAATTCTCACTTGCTGTATTTAAATAAGATTAATATATATCTATACATATTAAAGAAATAGAATTAATCTAAGGTGGACGCCCAATTTAGCTTGACATGGCATAACCCAAGTTTGATTCTCCCAGGACGAAAATTTTAATTTTATTTTTATTATTTCTTTTTACGTGCCGAAATTGGGAAGATGGGGAGCCGAAAATCCGAAGTGCTTCTGGAAATGCGAACCATCCGCAAACGAGGTGAAGGAAACCGAACAACATGCGGGAATTCAAAGTGAAAAGTGAACAATTTGACCAGAAATAGTCATATAAACTATCTTATTTAGCACCGTTATTATTATTATTACTATTATTATTATTTTTAACTTCCAATTAATTTCATCTCATAAATATAGAATTTGAAAGACCAAAGCAAAAAGAATATGAATTGAAAAGTATTTTTTTTAAAATAATGAGTATTTAATGACCCCATCCCTTTTTCAACCTATAAATAGGGCTAAAGAAGAGGGGGTAGAGTTGTCGCGGTGAGCCGTGGCGATGGCGGCGGTGCAACGCATTGCGGCATGATGTGCCGCGGCGGGACATCGTGGCGACGTGATCCTTTGCGGCGATGTGTCGCGGCGATGCGTTGCGACGGAGTGTCGTGATGGGGCATCACGACGGTGCGTGACGGTGATGGGTCGCGGCGACGCGAGAT